CAGAAGCTTGTAATTTTTTTGCCAAATATGATGTATTTGTATCTATAATTTGTCCACGTAAAATTTCATCTCCTATCACAATGAATCCTGCAGTAGTATAGATGATCTCCATCACGAATGGTTTTCCTATACATATTGAAGATTTATATAAATAATTGTAAAGTAAATACAAAAGTGTCTATTAGACATTTTCAGTTTTCTTTATTTAGAATTCAGTAAAATTATATTATGACTAAACAATAGTATCTGTGATTAGGTAACTAAAATTAGAAGTGCATGATGAGAAGTAACTTATTAATCCACTAAATTTGTTTTTTTAATTATATTTATTTTGTCCATTTGTCCATTTGTCCAACAAAAGTTTACATAAATTTACAATAGTTTTATTATACTGTATAGAGTCAATTAATATTATTACATTCTTTTTTTTTTTAATAGAGGGCAATATATTAAAAATATCTTAAAAACTAAACTAAATATTTTAATCAAATTTGCATTTGTTTAACTAGAGAAGTTACTGTATCAGTTTGTACTGGAGCTGATTTTTGCATTTTCTTCCTTTTTCCTTGCTTTGCATTGTCTGCCATCATTTTTAGTTTGCACTGATGTATTTCCTTGCGCAATTCTTCAATTAGTTGATCTCTTTCAGCACTTTTATCCCTGCATCCTGCAGCTGCTTTATTTTCTTTCAAATCTAACTATTGAAATGAAGTAAAATAATGTAAAAAATTTATGTTATAATCTATCATATTGTTTAGCTATACATTCTAATGAAATCCAAATATTAATATATATTTTCACATGAAAGATTCATATATGTAATTACTTATTTGCATTTAAGCACATCCTTATTTACACTTTTCATAAAAATTCACTTACTTTTTTTAAATTAGTCGTCACTTTTTGTGCTTTTGCCTTTAGTTTAACACTACGAATTGTTACTACTTTGAACACATTTTTGTTCTTTTGCTCCTTTTGCATACTTTTCTTCTTTCCCATTATTCTCTGCAATATTATCACTTACAGGTATATTAATATTATTTTCCATTCTTAATTTCTTCATTGCTGGCTCCTCACCTTTTAATATACTTTCAGTTAATAAAAATGATACACGAATCATTTCTGTAGACACAGAAACATTTCTAACATAATGTATGTCAACCAAAGAATCGGAACTTAATGTACAATTAAGTTTTTGTTCTACCATTGATTGTCCCAGCTTACAAGCATCTTCATTTTTACTTGCTTTTACAAAACAGTATAAATGTATGGTTGGTGGTTGACAACACATTTGTTTAATTTCATTTTGATTAAATGAATGAAAAAATACATCCAAAAATTCAACAGCAAGTGCTGGTAAGTTCATTATAACATGTTCCATACCAGCTTCATTACTGGCTCGTCTGTTCAAAATGTCAGTTTTAAAAACAGTTCTTAAAAAGTCTCTACCA